CCACTTCAAAATTAAATGATTTTCCAATCTTTTCTTGCAAAACACACACACACACACACACAGAACATTGAAAAAAAGGTCCATATTAAAAACTTGAGCCCATTGTTTTTCTGGTTGTTTTTGTTATTGTTTTTTGTTTCATTTCACAATGAATGATGACAAAAACAAATGTAATAATAAATTTCTTCTCTATCTATTATTTGTTTTTCCATTTCAACGTCGTCTAATATTCCATGTTCCATGTTCAAATATAAAATTTTTCTTCCCATTTGAATCAAAAAATAGAACGAATAAAAAAAAAGAAGAAGAAACTTATGTTTAGAATATTCTTATTACCATAAAAATGACTGATTGTTTCTGCTTATTATGTCACTATTCTTTTATATCATAATAATTATTCAATTCAATTTGATTCCATTCAAGAATAATAACAACAACAACAACAGCAACAAAAAAATGACGATTCTATTTAGGAATAACCATTTTTTTTTTCTCTGGGTAAACATAGATTCACACACACACACACACAAAAGCCAGAATAAATTCATTCATTAAACATTCATTCGAATGTCAAACAATTTTTTTTCGGAATAATATTTATTCATTCAAATATTGGTCATTTGGGAATTTTTTTATTTTGGTCGGCCTAGCACACTATTACAATACAGTGAATCGAAACGAGTAGTGAAAAAATGAAATTACCAAAAAAATGAAAAAGTCGAACAATTGAAAAATTTTTTTTCTGGATCCCAGAAAATTTTTTCTAAAAATTTCATTGTTTTGTGTCAAGTTACAGGTGGTGGTAGGTGGCGGTGGTAATAGTTGTTGTGGAAAAGAAACCTGATGGACCTTGGAGGCTTTTATTGATGTTGTAATCAAAATGAATTGGGCGTAACCGGAATTCAGTGGAAAATAGAAATTTTTTTATCCCTATTAATTTTTCTAATTAAACTTAGTACTTTATTGCAACACTGAAACAAACAAACAAAAAAAAACAATTCAATTTAGATTTTAGGTCGAGTCTATACATACATCGTGGTGGTTGTTGTGTGTTATTTTCTTTAGATCGATCAAATCAACCTATAAAAAACCCAAATTGTGGTTAATGAATTTAGATTACAACAACAACAACAACTACTACTACTACCACCTATAGATTGTCACCAGAAATGAAATGGTTTTCCAGAAGCGAAAAGAAATTCTTTTTTTCCGTTGTTGTTGTTGTTGTTTGTTCACTACATGACATTTTCATTTTAATCATAATTATAATTCAAAATAGAAAAAAAACCAGAATCGTTACAATTTGCTGCCACCCACCAACTAATGTGACACTTTTATTTTTATACACACACTTAAATGTGGAACAAAATTGAAATGAAAATTTTTTTTTGTGGATCGAAATCAATGTATTCCCGACACACACACACACAAACAAAAAAAAAAAACTTTTTCCCTATTTCCAATTCATTCCGGAAATTTTTCAGCATTCTTTCATGTCAAACGTTTGTTAACCAACACCAACAAACACCATAACCCAAGGTAACCAAATTGAAAAGTTTTTTTTCCTTTGATGATCTGGTCAAACATTGATCGGAATCTGTATTTGTCATTTACTAGCATTGTGAAAAAAAACCAGGAGAATATTCTCAAAATTCAGAAAACAATTATTAATATGATTGTTTGAAACGTAAGCAGCAAAAATTTAGTTATGGAAGCAACTAGCAGAATAATAAGTCAAAAACACATATAAACATTTCATTTGCTGTTCATTTTCAAAAATTTTCAATTGATTTGTCTGTAAATTTTATTCATTCCTTCATTCAATCACCATTTTGTTACTTTATTTTCAGTTGAAAAATCAACCATTTCCTGGGAGAATATCATTTTTTTCTGGCCACAAAATAGGTGTCAACTTTTTTTTTGTGTGTGTTTGAGAACCACACACACACACACACAAGACGGAGAAAATTCACATCAAAGAATTGCCGTTGCTTTTTTCTGTTTTTTTTCAAAGTTGCCAAATTGAGTTTTTTTTGCAACAAAGAATATTCGGCATATTTTTTTCCTTTCCAATTCTTTCATACAACAACAGCAGCAACAACAAAAAACGTTGGTGACAATTTTTCAAGATTTTCAATGATTCTATTGCTTTTCATTTTATTTGCTGTTTATTTGGAAATCAATTCTTGATACTTTTTTTTTTTCTTTTCTCTCTTTGGTATTCAATTCTATTTTCTGGCTGGTTTTTTTTCTCTCGGATACTTGAAATATTCGGTTATTGTTGTTTGAATGTGTGTGTGTGTGTGTGTACTTGCGTACTTGTCACATTCCCTAGTGTTTAAAGATTTTTCTCATTGTGTTTTTTTTCAAGTGTCAAAATTCTTTGATTCTTTCAGTTTATATTGGGATTTTTTTGTTTGTTTGTTTTTTTTTTGATACGATTTTCACTACTCAAATTGAATTTTTTTCTCTCTCTCTCTCTCATTTTCATTTATCGCACTTATAAATAGCTTTTGCATCACTTTTTTTTTATTCTCACCTTACCACATTTTCAGTGTGCAACTTTCACATTATTGTCGGGTTTTTTTCCATTTAAATTTTTTTTTTTCTCTCTCTCTCATTCTTATGAGACAATTTTGAATCTGATATTTTTTTTCTAAGCTGAAATTCAATGAAAAAGACTAGTTTTTTTAAGGTAATTTTTAAGCTTTTTTCCCTTTTATTCATTTGCCGCTGTTTTGATTTTTTTTTTTGCAACAAAATTGTGAAAATAAAATTCGTTTAGAAGAAAAATAAAATGATCATCATCATCATTGTTTACAAAATCTTGAAAAATTTATTTATCGTTTTTTACTTCGAGATCTTCAATGCAATTATCATTAATGTCTCACTTTCGTTCATTTATTGTTTTGTTTTGTTTTGTTTGGTTGGGTTATAAATCTTATCATCATCGTCGTCATTATTATTGCTGTGTTGCCAGGATTTTGATTTGAAAATGAAAACAACAAATTTTATACCTAAACAAATTTTCTTCTTATTCAAAAAAAAAAAATTCTAGAAACAAATTGTCGCCAGAATTTTTCTTTGTTTTTTAGAGTTTGTTCTTTTTACGATTGTCATTGTAGTTAAGAAAAAAAGATGATAATTATCATTAATAATAATTGTTAATAAAATATCCAAATGATGATGATGATGGGTATAATGACAATTAAGATGATCTAATGATGATGATGGTTTCCACATCATAATTACAACTTGAAACTATCATCATCATCATCATTATTCCAGAATTCAGAACCAAAAAAAAAAAGAAAATCGATCAATCGATCGAAAACAATGAGAAATTTTTTTTCTTTCTTTTTTTGATTGACCAAATGAAAACCTCAAACTATCATTGTTCAAATGCAATTAAAGTATACACATTTATGATTTTTTTGTTTCCTTCATTATTTTCACCATGATTTGTATTTTATTGTTATGAAACGCAGCATCAGCAATTGGAATAAAAAAAAGTCAAAAGGTCATATTATTATCAATTTTCAATTGTTTCATTATTGGCTAATTACAATATAAAAAAAAATTCATCACAATGAACAATCAATAGATTGATTTGATTTGATTTGGGAATCGAAATCAAATTAAAGGAATGAATAGAGAAAAAGGAAGAGATATAAAATCAACCACAATCACATAGTGACCGCAGAATAAAACTGAAAAAAAAGAATCAATCGGTAATAATTAAGAATTTCCTTCCTGTTCGAATATTCTCGATTGTCATCAAATAATGATGATGACATCAACATTGATCTATTGTTGTTGTTTTTTTTTATTTTACTTTGATTCATATTCTTGATTGATTGTTTCACAATGTTTCAAATCGACAAAATCAGAGACAGAGTCCAAAATGAACAAAGTGAAAAAAATTCTTCTGTATGCAGAATTTCTGCTTGGATAAAAAAAAAAATTTTTTTTGTTATTCCTCAATTCTCAATTCAAATTCTTTGAATCGTCATCATCATTATTTTCTTTGTCATTCTATTTCAAGTTTGATTCCTAGTTAAATTCTACTCTTTTTCTCAATGATTGGGATAAAATTTTCCAGTTCATTATAATATTCTAAAGTCAAATTTGAAGCGCCAACTAGTGGAATAAATCGCTACTTACACCTCAACTTTAGATTAGATTATGATATTTTCATTGTATATTTCTCTTTAACTGGAAGAATTTATAGTGAACAAAAAAAAATGACGAATGATTGCAAAATTCATAAGTAATTTGATTCATTCTGTTTTTCACATGATTTTTTTTGCGCTATTTTTTGGAATTTTTTTTTACTTCAAAAGAATTCTACATTCTACAAGCTTTTGTTTTTAAAATAAATGAGAATGGAAAAGAGAAAATTTCGTTATCATGTTGTTGACAAAACATATGAAAAGAAAATTAATCTTTGAATGAACTGAACATAGATGAAATGGGTAAAAAAACGCATTCTATTTTCATTCATCATCCATTCACAATTGTCAATGAATTTTTTTCGAACACTCATTTTTTTTCTTTTTAATATTTGATTCTTTGTTTTTTTTTTGGAAAAGATTTAGATTTTGGTCTACAATAGAGAATTTTTTTTGCCCAAAAAAAAAAAAAAATTCAACCAATTCCAGAATTTCAGACTATTATGATTCTAATGTTTTTCTGTTTTCAAAAAAAAAAGTTTTCAAATATTATTAATTAACGCTAATCAAATGTGTGTGTATGCATGATGAAGAAAACTTTTTTCGTGTGTGTTTTTGCGCGAAAAATATATACATTTCAAGCTGCTGCTGCTGCTGCTGCTATATTCTGAGATGATTTTGTTTTGCTTTTGGCCTCAGTCTGTTTTCGATGAAAACAAAAACAATAACAACAACAACAACAACAACTGGACACAAATTGAAATATTTTCATAAAATTTAAATAATTTTTTTTTTTTTTTTCATTTTAAATTAACAAATCAACTTTAGGTACGAACATTGTTCGTTAGTGGACTACCAATGGATGCTAAACCACGTGAATTATATCTATTATTTCGTGCATATAAGGTATGTTGAAATATGATGATGGAATGGATCAAAGTTCATTTTTTTAATTTTTCTTTTCATATAAAAATCAGTTTATTAGTTTGTTTTTTTTCCTATTTGGTTAGTTTTGTCCGTTTCAAATACACACACACACACACACACACACACACATGAATGAATTGATTTGCAGTAGAATTTTTTTTGTTTTGTTTTTTTGTTTGTTAAAAAATTTTTTAAATCAACTTTTTTTTGCCATGTTTTGCACTTCATCAATTTGGTTGCAGATGTTTTCTAGAAATTCACACAATTCTTGTTGTTTATTACGAATGAATAAAAACTGAATTCATAATCCAGAAATGAGTAATATTTTTTTTGTTTCATTTGCATGAATTGTTTTTCAGTCATTTCATCATTATTTTTTATAATCAAAGAATAAAAGTTTTTCATGTGTGTGTGTGTGTGTGGGTGTACAGTTACAATTCACAGGGAAACAAACAATGGAACAAGTTTCAAAAATTATTATCAATCAACAATGATGATTGGCTGTTCCATTTGTATTGACCCCATAGGCAATCATGTTTTGAATATTTACATCATCAATAAATTCATTTTTTTGATTAGTTCATTTTCTTAGCTTTTGTTAGTCGTGCGTTGTTGCTGTTTTTTTTATTCTGTTTATTTTTGTGTTTTTTCAAATACAAATAAATAAATCAATACCAAATCAATCAATGTGTGTGTGTGAGTATTATTTTGCATATATGTATTTGTGCAGAAGAAAAAAATACACCATGTTAATATAATTAGATGCTACAAACTAATGGTTAGTCATCATATGTGTACAGATGATAGTATGAAATCATCTGTACCATAATGGACACACACACGACTAATGCTTGTTAGTGGTGGTTATATTAGATGAACAAAAGTTTTCTTATCATAAAGCTCTGATTTCGTGGCAATGTTTTATGTATTTATTTCAACGTTATATCTATGAATTTGGCAATGTGGCTATGTGGTCCATGTGTCCATTAAAACTGTGCGTGTGTGTGTGTGTGTGTTTGTTTCAAATAAAATCCACACACTTTATTTTGTGTTTGTCACTATGTTGATGATGATGATAATGAAATATTCATAAGTGTTTTAGTAGAAATCTTTTTTGCATATGCATGTTTGGCACCTGAAAAAAAATCATTAATTTAGTCTTCAAACAAATCTAGTTAATTGAACACACAAACACACACACACTCATTCAGAATCCAAACAGAATCCATTAAGAAATGATTGAGATTAACAATGATTGTTTCATAGAAGAAAAAAGTTTAAACTATTTCAACTGCCACACACAAACACACACAAAAGATCATCATCACATATAATTTGTTTCAAAGTGTTTGTTACATTTGTCAGTTTAAGCGAAAAACGAAAAAATAAAAATAAACAAAAATAAACAAAAAAAATTGAGACATGAACATTTTGGCCAAAATATAAATTGGATTACCGTTAGATGAGGATGATTTTTTTGTTGTTGTCTTTGTTTTCGATATATTATTTTAGATGTTTATGGCGGAAAAAATATCATCATCATCAATGTTATTAGCGTAATTCATTTTTGTCATTAAAATTTAGTGTGGAAAAAAAACCGACGGTTGAAATAAGATTCGACAAATAATAATGCTACGATTCGTGAAAATAATGCCTTTCACCCGCAATCATGATTTTCTTAATTAACATTATGTAGGCGTTTTTTTTTGTTTTGTTTGTTTGTTTTCAAATTACTTTTGACAGTTCACCACAATTCTTCTGGCAAAGGTATTGATTGTGCATTGTTGTGATGATGATGATGATGAAATTTTCAAATCACACAATTTTATTCGACTTTTTTTTCCCGTTTGTAATGCTAATTTCTTTTGACATTTATTTTGTTTTGTTGTTTCATTATAAAAAATCTTTTTGTTGATTTTTTATGGTTTCAATTTCTCAATCGTTTTTTTGTCATTATATTTATAGGGATACGAAGGATCATTATTAAAAGTGACCAGTAAAAATGGAAAAACATCATCACCGGTTGGTTTTGTTACATTCTCAACAAGAGCTGGTGCTGAAGCTGCTAAACAAGATTTACAGGTAAAAAAATGAAGAAGAAGAATTCTTAGTCAAAGAAAAAAACAAAAACAAAACAGGACAATTCTTTTTTTTATGATTTCGTGCTTTTTCTATAATCATAAAATGGAAAATCATTTCATTTTGTTTCATTGTTATCTATAAAGTAATTTGTTTTTATTCATCATATTTTTTATGTCTTTTTTTCGTCTATCAACATTGATGATAATAAAAATGGTCCATCATCGATTACAACAACAACAACAACAACAGCAAGGTATCCGGTTTGATCCTGATTTACCACAAACAATAAGGCTTGAATTTGCCAAGAGCAATACCAAAGTGAACAAACCAAAACAATCATCATTGCCTTTATCATCATCATCATCTTCATCGGCAGCTGCTGCCGCTGCCGCAGCAGCAGCCGCTGCTACTGCCTCAAATCATCCGGCAGCATTAGCGATGCATCCTCTTACTGGCCGTAAGTATTTTTCTTTTTTGTTTGTTTATTTGCCAATTTCATTTTTTTTCTTTGAATAATTTTATTTTTTTTTCTTTTGGAATAGTCGATCTAAGTGCTGCATTGTTTTCGAATCCACATGATAGCTGGGCAACACCACATCCATTATCATTTCCGGAAATGACTACATCAGCTGCATTACATTCAGCTGCAGCATTAGTACATCCGGCATTACATGCTCAACTACCGGTATGTTTGTAAATATTTATGAAATATATTTGAACAAACATGCCAAATAAACCAAAATATATAATCATTATAATGATGATAACAGTAATCTACTACAATTACAACAACAACAACAACAACAACAACAACAACGATGATATTATTATTATTCTTTATTAAATAAAAACAGGCACGCATTATATCTCAAGAATTTCAGAATAAAAAATTTTCTCTAATTCTAAATTTAGATATTAGTGTTTAGGTGTTATTATTTCAAAAGAAAAAAAAAATATTTTCCATTTTCTCTTTGAACTTTCAAAAAAAAAAAAAAAAATTCCATTCCATTCATTATGAACTAATTGATTGATCTGATCTCTCTATATCTTTATTTCCATTATATTTTGCACTGTCACCAATAATCCACCCACCCACCCACACATACACACACACACACACACTGCACACAAATTGATTAAAAATTAATTTCAATAATCACTTGACCTTGTTTTTATTTCAATTATGTTTTCTCCTCTTTCTTTTTTATTCAATGTCTGCCATCATTTTCATTCACGCACACACACACACACACACACGAATTCGGTTCATGGTTATTTCATTTGTTTTTATCTTGATTTTTTTTTACCACCACCACCACCATCGTCATCATCATCATCATTATCATCACTTTTTTCTCGTATGCATTTCTGAATCTTGTTTTTTTTATTCATTTATGAATGATTCGACCATTTTCTATGTAATATGTTTCACCAATATGCACATCATCACACCTATTTGTTTCCTCCAATTACCCAAACATTCACACACACACACCTACAAATATCCTATTTTATATACAAAAAAAAATTTCGAATAAATACAAATTAGCAGCCTCAATTAGCAGCCGTACCACATCCAATGAATCATGGTCATGCAGCAGCAGCCGCCGCAGCAGCAGCCGCAGTATTAGCCGCAAATCATCATCATCATCATCATCATCATCCTTCAATGCATCATGGAACAATACCACCATCACATTTAGTTGCCGCATCATCAACAACAGCAGCAGCAGCAGCTCTTGCAGCAACTCCAATTGGTCAAACACCACCAATATCATCATCATCATCATTATCATCATTAACAACAACCACAGCACATCATCATCATCAACAACAACAACAACAACAATCAAATAATTGCAATACAACACCATGTTCAACATTATTTGTTGCCAATCTTGGACAATTTGTTTCTGAACAAGAGCTAAAGGAATTATTTGGAAGGTATAAACATAGTATTAAATAATAATCATCATCATGATACAAATCAAAAACATTTACAAAATATAGCAATTTGTGGTAAAAAAAAAAAAAAAAAACAAACAAACAATACACCCACACACACACACACACACACAAACACATTATCTATCAGACAGTGGCTAAAATTTTTCATTTTTCGTTGTTGTTGTTATTTTGTTTCTTTCTCTCTTTCTCTTTCATCATCATTCGAACGTAATCATTGGAATTGTCATCATCATCATTATCGTCATCATCATCATGACTATCATCACTGAATCATTAAAAGGGGCGAAATAAACTAAAAAATGAGTGTGTTGAACATAATGAAAGAATTTTATTACCTGAATGAATGACCGAATGAATGAATGGTGAACAGAGAAAAAAAAATTGATAAATCAAGGAGAAATGATGATCAATCGATTGATTGTGACAATAATAAGTTAAGTCAATTTAAAGAAAAAAAACATCATCCATTTCAAATTTGATATAAATCGCATTTTCTTTCAATTTTCTCGAAAATTTTTTTTCTTTTTGTTGGTTTCGTTTTTTTTTCGCTTGCCTCTCGCCTAATGAATGATGATGATGCACTCATAAACAAACACACCCACCTCAGCTAAACACAAATAAATTAAAGATTTTTTTTTTTCTAATTAGGTTAGAATTCTTCAAGATCAGAATATTCACTACGGCCAAAAAAAAAAATTAGACACAAACACTAAAATACAAAACAAGGGCCTAAAATGATGATGGCATGAAATGATACGACAAAAAAAAAACATTGATTCTGATTCTCTCTTTCTCTCTCTGTTTGTGTGTGTGTGTATGTTTTTGCACTAAAATCACTTTGACACTGGACAAAAGAATGAAAAAAAATTGCAAAAATTCATCATCACATCAATTTCACTTGTTATTTCAGATATTTCTTGCATTTTGCTCACCTGATTCAAATCGATCAATCAATCAATCAATGGTTTCAATTATTCACCATTCACATACCACATAACACATACACATATACACAAAAACATGTGTCTCAATGATTTTATACTGATTTTTTGATTTTTTTTCTCTCTCTCTTTTCTCTCTTTTTTTTTCATCCATTTGTATCACCACTTTTTTTTTACTGTGTTTGTGTCTGGTTTTTGTGTATTGTATTTTTTTTTTTTTTTTTTTTTGAAAACAAACAAACAAACAAACCAAAAAAAAAAAAAAAAAAATTTAGTTTTATTGGATTCTGCCGACTACGGATGCATAACAAAAGTGGAGCACCGGTTGCATTTGTCGAATTTACGGTATGCAAATTTTTTTTCTGATTGTTTGATAATGATCTTTTCTTCTTTTTGGCTTGATTCTGTCCGATTATTTTTGCATATTTGCAAACATAATTTGCATATAATCAATCAAAATACACACAAATAAATAGAATAGATTAAGATTAATGAATCAAATAAAGATCTAATCCAGATAATTTTCATTTTAATTTTCATTTTTTTCAATCTATTTTTTCACGCTTCAAACTAACAAACAAACAACTAATAATATTATTAATCATCATCATTTTTGTATATTCATTTTTTTTTTTGGCAGGATATACGTTTAGCAACACATGCAATGAATGCCTTACAAGGCTTTATATTATTTTCATCTTCAGATCGTGGTGGTATACGTATAGAATATGCAAAAAATAAAATGGGTGACATATCCGGTTCATCATCCGGTGGTTCATCATCTACTGGTGGTGGTTGTAGTGGTGGTGGTGGTGGTGGTGGATCATCACTTAATAGTCAACCATTGAATAATCATAATCATAATAATAATAATCATCATCATCATATTCATCAACATCATCTTCAACTTCATCATCATAATCATAACCATAATCATGATGTAGCCAATTCGGTATGTATGAAAATTAAAATTCTTCATCGTAGCGCCATCTGTGTCGAGAAAACATTGATTAAAATCAACAAGTAATTTTTTATTTAGTCATTTCTCAAGACGATAGTTGGCGCCACAAGTTTTATTTCATACTAATAATTTTTTTTTTAAATTTATTCATTCAATTGATTCTATAGATTGGCCATGATTAAAAACAGCAACAACAACGAAAGAATCGGAATGAATTTTTTATTTGAAAAAAACCTGATAAAAAATCAATTTCCAAAAAAAAAAAAAACGAAATCATAAACCGTTGGACTAATGCTACTTAATCTCAATTTTAATTTTAAAACAAAAAAAGAATTTCATTCATCGATCACCTTTATCAATCATCATATCATTCATTATACAAAAACAAAATGAAACAAATAAACAATTCATTGATCATCGTTGTCCTTATTTTTTTTTGTTCCAATTATTGTTTGCTTACTCAATTATTGCATTCTTTTTTTGTTTCAAATTCTTTTTTTTTTCTTCTTCTTCTTCATATCTTTCTCATCATTACAATCAATCAATCAATTAATCGATCGAAAATATTGGAACTTTTAAAATTTTACCATTGGATATCATTATCATTCTATTATTATACTTACTTATTATTGTTGTCTATTTGGATTTGTGAACTGTTATTTTTCTAATGAAAATTTTTTTTCTGGCTATTCTCTCTCTCTCTCTCTCTCTCTCTCTCTCAATATTATTATATTCAAACATTAATTTTCTGGTCAAAAAAAATTAAAAAAACCGATTTTTTTTCTTCGCTCTATGGCCATTGTTTCCTTCATTATAATCATCATCATCGACATCATCATCATCATCAATATGTGGTCATCATCATGGATCCTGTATCCTGGATTCAGGATCATCATTATCGAGCTGTTTGATTATATATTATTATTATTATCATTATTATTGTAATGAATAATTATGGAATGTAATTTATTATTATTATTATTATTATAGCAACATATGAAAAATGGACAGAAAAAATTTTGAAAAAAAGTATTAAAAACATCATCATCATCATTATTATCATTAATTTGCATTTTTTCCATTTTCTTCCTTTTTTTTGACAATTTTGAAGTAAATAACCACTAAAAAAAACAATCAGGTACAACCGAGAAAAACCGGAACCAGTTCCTATTGTTTAGTTTTGATTTGAGTTCCAATTTTTTTGTTGTCTGGGATTCAGCATACCCTAGTGGTGTGCATGAAAATATTAAATTTTTTTTTTGGTTTGTTTTCATCCATAAATAATGATGAAAATGTGGTCAGACCAAAATTTTGTCAAATTTTTCATGATTTTTTTTCTGAACAAACAAACAAACACAAACACAAACACACAAGTTGGACTCGAATTGAATTGAATAATAATGTAGTGATGTGGTCAATTTTCAAGAATAATTTTGTATTCCAATGATTATATTACATTGGTACACGAATTTATGATCATCGTTCCCATTGAATATATTTTTTTTTAAATTTTTTATGACAAAAAATAACTATCATTTGATATCATCAATGTTGGAAGTCAAAAAAAAAAAAAAAATAATAATAATAATGACGACAACAGAATTTTAGCCTGAAAAAGAAAAGTTGTAGGTTTTCATCATTATTGTGATGACAGTGGAATTTTCATTTTTGTTTTTATATGATTCATAAAATGAAACATTGATTTCGATATATTCAATTGATCTATCGATTCGAACTATATATTATTTTATTATTATGCTAAGGTTACATTCATAAGTTTGATCTATCAGATGTTTTTTTCACCTAAAGAGCAAACGACAAACATAAACAATGAAAAAAAATTTAAAAATTGAAAAAATTCTGCTGATATGCTGCCACTATCATAATCAAATTTCATTATTTTGAATTTCTTGATTGCTTGATTTGATTATTATCCAAATAAATCAGATTGGATTACGAAAACAAAAAACCACCATCACCACTACCACCACAATCAATATTGATTTGATTAATTACTAATTTAATTTTCATCACTACCATCACAACAATTACGAATACGTGCCATCACAACCATACACACACACACAAATATCTTATGGTAAGATCAATCAATAGTGTAAACATGAAATCACTGGAATGACAATCAAATTAGATGAAGCACGTATTAATATTAATAAATGTGTATATGTGGCTTATAGCTATGACCTTTAACCCTTTTTTTGTGTCCAAAAAAAATAAAAATAAAATCATTCCACATTTCATCAACGGATCTTTTGAACGATAAATAAATAAAAACCTGATCAATGTTTGTTTGATTCATAATCAAAAAAAAAAGAAGAAAAATTATTATTTAATAGTGGAAAAAAAACTTGAAAATAATATTTATGATCCGGTGGGCAGAATCAACATATTGACATCACTATACACAAATATCTAGAGGGATGAAAAGGAAATTTTATTGAAAATTCAGATTTTTTTTTCATGGAAAAATGAACGAAATCAAACAAACATATATACACACACAGAATTTTGAAAAAAAACATTGACATTTATGAAAAATGAAATGAAATGAAAATAAGTTTTTTTCAACAACAATAACATATGATGTCAATTGGAATTACGACAGATGGATCAGAATGTTTTGTTGTTGTTTTTTCTTGGAAAACTTTTTCAAAATTGTTTTATTTTTTGCCATCTTCTACGATGATGATGATGATCAATTTTCTCAATCCGAAATCAATTGATTTAACCACAAAACATATATATATCAATATGTTTCGATGATATGAGGAACAAACCAACATTTTTTTTCTGAATTTTTGTTTCGATTTTTCTTTGTTTGATCCATCAAACAACAACCAGATCATCTCCAAGGAATATTCAATTTTTTTTCGTACATTTAAAACGGACGTTGACTGTTGACTTTTGATGTTGTTGTTGATGATAATCAATGAACAGATAAATGAATTATTTCAACAACAACAACAACAAAAAAGATTAATGGCCAAAAACAAAAACAAAAAAAAATGTTGATAATTAGTGATGGATTTTGTGTAAAAGAAAAGAACAAAGACAAGAAACACTGCTCATTAGTGATCATCTGATGATTGATGATGATTTCCAATTTTCAAAATCAAATCTTAATCAAATCAAATGAAAAAAAAAATTACAACGGAACAAATAAACCAATTCTCTGTGGTTGATTTTTTTTTGTTTGTTTGTTTGTTTGTTCGATTCCATGAAAACCACAACAAGTATAATATAAAAAAAAAAAAAAATTTGAAGCAGCAGCACCAGCACCAGCAGAAACATGAATCCGTACACAGTTCAAGCAACCAAACAACAATTCTATTTTTATTTTTAAAAAGCCATAACATCATCATCATCATCATCATCATTACAATCAATATAAACAGAGAAAAAAAATTAAATGATGTCGTTAATTACTGTTGGTAAGTAGATGTTATTACAACATCACATAACAAAAACTAGCAGTAAAAATTACAATGAAACGTGATACATAATATAAAATCTCAAAAGGATTTTTTTTTTGGTTGTCTTTTTAGTTGAAAATGACGACAATATGGTATTGTTAATTGTCAGTTGTTGTTGTTGTTGTTGTTATTGTTGTTGTTGTTATTGTTCGAAATGAACCATATAAAAATAATGACAAACTGATTGGATATTTAAACTGAAGCTTTTCAAGCTCATTTTCAGAATTATTTTCAAAAACATTCATCAACCATCATCAACCATCAACCATCATCATCATCGACGAATCGAAAGAATCGGTTGTCAGAAAACTTTGTTGATTTTTTTTTTTAGTCTGAAAGATTGATCATATTTTACTTTGTTTGTGAGAATAAAAAAATGGCCTCAACATTGACAAAATCGACAACAACACCATGTATATTGTATCGAACAATATTTGTATTGACTATATTGGTCATTTATTATTCCAGTTTTTGTATGATTGATGCATTGAAAAAACCACCATTGAATGGCGGAATTTTTGGTAAACGATCATCATCATCAATAACGATGCCATTATCATCACAATCGATGATTGGTCGTTTCATAGCCCAAGGTTTGTATTTTTTTATTTTGTTTTAAAATTAAAAATAAAAACAAGTCAGTCAGATGTTCATGGCAAAAAACCCGGCCATTTACACACGAAAATGACGGTTATAAGAAATGAACCGTCAATTCTGAACACACACGACAAATTATCTTCCAATAAAAGTGATTGTTCCATAAATCCAATAGTTTGACCATAGCTTAATTTTTTGTTTTGTTTTCTGTTTTAACAGAAACGGATGGCGATATGATGATAAACAATGTATGCGATCTGGTCACTAATCTGATGCCAGCCTGTAATAATTGGTACATGAGAATGAATGAAATGGTCAACAACAACAACAATAATAATAATAATAATAATAACAACATTAATAAATGATGTTAGAATCGAATTTGGATCGACAATCATCATCAATTATATTATACATTTAAAATCTGGATCATATGCTGACCAAACCATGAAAACGAGTGAAAAAGAAATGCCCAAATACAAAACCATTTTTTTTGAATTTGAATACGAAAAAAAATTGGAGAATTTTCCCACTTTATCATTATCAATTGTTTGTTTATAAAACAAATTTTTCAGTATATTCTCAGTATTTAGAGAATCTGAAAATATTCTTTGCCCATTTTAAAATTGATTTTATTGATTATCATCATCATCATCATCGTCATTATTGATGAAAATTTTGAAAGAAAAAAAATCTTATTTTGTTCGCTTCTTATTACACACACACATCCAAAAAAAAACACGTTTAATTACGATTTTAACAATTTCAGAATTTGAATTCTGAATCACCACCTATACATACAAACACACATCCATACATTTATCAGATGGAAAGTTGAAAATTTTTTCTCTTCATTTTTTCTGATAAAAAATATAAAATGCAAACTCAAAATAAAACAACACTCGATGAATACAACTGATGGAACAGACAAAATGACAGACAAAATTCTACATAACCAACAAAAACAAAAATCCAAAAAACTTTGAAATAAATTGATTTACGACTCATAACAATAATCAAATTCATTTCTTATAATAAAAACAACAACAGCAGCAGAAGAAGAAGAATAAAAAAAAATACCAAAAGATTTTTTCTCGGACATTTCAAGATGAAAAAGAAAATGAAATTTACAATCAATCAACAAAATGAATTTGAACAACAACAACAACAACAACAAAAACAAAGATATTTATCATTTGTGTAGGCGTTATGTAAGATTCTAATCTGTTTAACTGTTTAACTGCAGTATATGTGTGTGTGTGTTTGTGATGAGTGTGAATTTCAATTTAATCATTTCCGATATTTATGTGTGTGTGTGTGTTGTATTTATATTTAACTCGACACACACACACACACAAAAGTATGCTTCTAATTTTGGGTTTTGTTTTTTGTTTCTGACTGTGGGTGCAAATTCAGTCTTAGTTTGATGTGTGATGTGTGTGTGGATGTTTCATTTGATTAAATCAAATTCAATGAATTGATGATTAAGGTCAACTTTAAAAAAAAAATTTCGATAACAAAATGATGATTGTGGTGGTGGTATTGTTTTTGATTTTTCACTCTGGAATTAACCGGTTTTTCTTGTCTTTCTTGATTCATAGCCCAGGTAAAATTGCCCAGAAACAGAAAATGAATTTTGGCAAAAAAAAAACAAAATGAAATTAAAAATTTAAGCATATCAAGGTTTTTGTGTCGTTGGGGGGGAATAAAAGCAATAATAATGTGAAGAAAGGGTTGCCACTTATGTGATATTTTAAAGTGAAATGAAATTTTATCATCATCACAGATGTTTTTTTTTTGCCAAAATTCATCACAGATGTGTTCACAACGGTCTGAAATGAAAGAGAAAATGAAATCAAAATTAAAAAACGTATCATTCAATTAATTAAATACTTGCAATGTATGAATATAGATTACCACATCACACCAACAGCAGCAGGTATATAATAATTATTTCGATGATATTTTCACACTGTTGATGTTGATGTTTTGATGTGATGTGATGTGATGATGGTAAACAGATCGAAATCTGATTGATTGATTGAATGTTAATATATATCTGTGATGATGATTAAATTTAAATGAATTCATAAAAAAATTGATTTCTTTGATTGATTGCAACATTTTCATTTGTTGTTGTTGTTGTTGTTTTTCATCATCATCATCATCATCATTCAGAGGGTATGTATATAATTCATTCAAAAAAAATATTTACTTCACTCATATCATTTCGCACTCGAAACACTCATTTACATCGAATGAGCAATTCAATTCAATTCAATTCGATTGATTGAATGAAATCAATTTTTTTATTTCTGTCAAATTAGAAATATTTTTGTGATGTGATGATGGTAAACAGATCGAAATCTGATTGATTGATTGATTGATTGAATGTTAATATAAATTAAAAATGAATTCATAAAAATTGATTTCTTTGATTGATTGCAACATTTTCATTTGTTGTTGTTGTTGTTGTTTTTTCATCATCATCATCATCATCATTCAGAGGGTATGTATATAATTCATTCAAAAATATTTACTTCATGAATTTGTGAATTGAATGAAATCACTGTTTTATTTTTTTTTTTTTTATTTCTGTCAAATTGAAAATTTCAAATAAAAAATGACCATGAATGAATGTGAATGATAATGAAGCCATGAATGTTTTTTTTTCTTCAATTTTCCATTTCACTATTTAGTCAAGTTAAGTTAATTTTTTTTGCTCTGACATAAACATGTGTTTACTTTTTATGTGTGTGTGTGTGTGTGTGTGTGTTGTTTACATTTGTATTTGAATATTGCCCAAAAATTCAAAAAATTTTTTTTTCTTTTTAGTTTATTTCATTTCAATTTTTTTTTTTTTTTTTTTTTTTTTTTGTAATCCATTTAAAGTTATCACCGAACAAAAAAAATGAAAGATTGAATTTCCATCGAAAAAAATGCGATATTTGTATGGGCGTTGTGTGTGTGTGTGTGTGTGTGTATGAATTTAGGGTAGGTGAATATCAAATTTTTTTTCTCTCACTCATTTTTTTCTGCATTCTTGAAACCCTTCTTCTTCTTCTTCTTCTTCTTCATCATCAAAAATCTTGATTTTATTCCATGAATCAATCAATCAATCAAACAAACAACAGGCATTTCATTTCATTTCATTTTTTTATGCGAATGATGAATGAATAAATCAAATTGAAAAAAAATGGCGCCACTGATATATATTGTAACACGATTGTCATGTCAATTTTTTTTATATTGATTCAATTCATTAATTTATCATCATCACCGCCACCACCACCAATCATCATCATCACAATTTTTAACCAATAATCATCGATAAGTGAGCGAAAAAATTTATATCAAATCAAATCAATCATACACACACACACACACACACACAGTAATAATAAAGTGGGAAGAAAATACTTTTTTCGATAACATTTTTTTTCAATCAGTTAATTGATTTTCAAATATTTTTCATTTCTTTTTCATCAAAAATTTGATTTAGTGATTTATGACAGGAATAAAAAATGGAAATGTTGATCAATAATTTCTCATTACAACGATCATTAGCATCATCGATACGATTATCATTAATGTTCATATCAACAATGTTAATCATCATTATTTTACTATTCACCGAATTCGATAATGTTGATGGACAATTTTTTACAAAAACATCAAAATCAATACCAAGATTGGGTAGAAAAGTGGACAATAGTTTAATCATGGTAAGTGTTGGTGTTTTTTTTTTCTTTTCGATTTCATTTCATTTCATTTTGTCTATACACATACAGGAATTATTGGACGACAATGACGTCGACGTCAACGATGGCAATGATCTGATTCTATCATCATCATCATCATCATCAGCAACCTGGAACCATCAAGAAGATTCATCACAACAACAACAACAACGAAATCAAACCAATCTATTATATCGGCTATTCATGCAAATGGCACGTTTATTTCGTCAATCACCTCATCAATGATATTGAAAATTTTCTGGCCTAATTTTTTTTCCCGAAAAAAAAATTTGAAAAACAACAAAAAAAACAAAGAAAAATTTAAAATCAAGTCATCCACATACATTCTCACTTCATTATTGATTGCTCAAATTTCAAGTCAGAAAAAAAATTCCGTTTTCTAATTTATTTACCAAACCATAAGAAAAAACAACAACAACAACAACAACGACAGCTAAGACAGAAACAAAAAAAAATCAATTTGGGTCAATTTGTATTTGGTTCATTAAATTCATTGTGTATGTATGTATGTGTGTATGTATTTTGTCGTTGTTGGTCATCATTGACCTTGATAGTGTGTGTGTGTGTGTGTGTGATCGTTTACAATTGATTGATTGATCGATTAATGATGATGATGATGATGATCACGAAATGGGTCACTGTGTGTTGTGTGTGTATGTGTTTGTCTATTTTTTGTTGTTAAATTCCAAAATCTTGATCAAATTTCATTGTATTGATTATTGTCAATTTTAAAGGTTTATTTATTCAAAAAAAAAAATTTTTTTTTTTTAATTGTTCATTTTAATTATATTTACATTTCTGTCTCTGTTTGTTGGATATTCTCTTGTTTTGTGAAAGAAAGAATATTTTTTTTCGTTTATATTATTATCATAATTATTCAAATGTATTCTGTGCTTTATCATTTTGGTTTTTTTTTCGTTGAAATAAATATGATTGATGATTCATTAAAAATTGTAGGGTGTGTATTGATGTTTTTCTTTCATCTGTTCTTATTCTTTCTTCTTTTTTTTCATTAAGAATTTCAAGCAAAAAAAAATGTGAAGAGACTGTGTGTCTTTTGATCAAGTTGAATAGGATATTCAATGGGGAAAAAATGTTTATTAAATAAATTTGTTTGTTTGTTTGTTTTTTCGGGTTCTGTTTCTCGATTTTGGAATTTGATGGAATCACAATTTTATTTGTGATGTGTGAAGACATTTTTGATGTTGATTTCGTTTATCTTTCACTCATATATAATTTATTCGGATTATTATTATTCGGATTTTGTTTGCTATTTGTATTTAAATCTGAATATTCTTTCATCGTTGGCAATGATGACGATGACGATGATGATGATGATGTTGATAATTTTAACATTGCAGCTGGCATATTAAATTCTGTTTCATCATTTTCACGTTGTTCACCATAATCGCCCATATATGTCATTGATGATTGTAATGGTTCTAATGCCGCCATTGGTGGCAATGGTGGTTGAAATGAACGTTTTCGTGAAAACAATGTAAATCCACAATGGCAACCACCAACATAACCATTGAATTTTGTTCGACGACAGAATGCTGAACAATCTAAACGTCGTATTACGGTTGGAAAATCCATTTTACGTACAGCCGCTTGTATTTGTCGCCGTTGTTGATCATTATTCAATATTGCAACAATAATAATGGTGGCAATCAATACAATCGATGATGATGATGATAATAATTTTAATTGCTGTAATCGATTTTTTGTATTCATGATTGATTTTGATTTGTTCATTTGTTGATGACAAATTCAAAAAATTCCGTATATTCTGGAAATCACAAAAAAAACTTAGCAATCAGTGATTGTGAAAAAAAGAAATTCTTTTTCAATCAATGTTAAAAATTTAAAATCAATGATGAATTTGGATAGCACTTATTATTAACAGATTATTCTTCAAATTGAAAAAGTTTTTTGTTGGAAAATTTTTTTTTCAGCCGACAATTACCTGAATCAACTTGGCAACTGAATATTCTTTTGGATATGATGCCGATATTTATTCCAATTTTTTTTCATCTATGGCGACATCAAAGTATCATCTGTATGGTTCCTACAAGTTACATCAAAAACAAAAAGATAAAGAGTGAATCTGGTTCAAAATCAACATATAACAGTAATAATAATAATAATAATAATGAAAATAAACAACAATGCATCGGTGCGTATGCAAAAAAAAAAAAAAAAAAATTCAAAAAATGCATGTAAAACGACATATTTTTCTTTCGCACGCGCCAACGGAAAAAAAATATCATGGAATTTTTGTAACGATCCAAAGTTATTTGCATCATTAAGAGTATATCATGAGTATATCGCATGCGCTTAATTGAATGAATATATCCTGTGTGAATGATATGAATCCATTTGAATATGCATATATCCTCATGCAATTTTTGTGTTTTGGAAAAAAGGTTCAATATTCAGATTAAGAATTGTGTGTGTGTGTGTGTGTAGGTTAATCAAATGCAAAATACGAAAAACAAACAAAAAATGAATGAAAAAAAACAAAAATGTTCCAATAATCCTATGGATATCGAATTATTGTTTTTCCTCATATCTGATTAATCACATACGGAAAGAATGAAAAATGAATTAAGAATTTTCATCACATCATCATCTTAAAGAATAGTTGTATGTACCCATGAATAATGATAAGCAAATCTGATCAAATGGATGGATGAATGGATGGACAAATCATCAATCAATTTTTCCGATAAAGTGAATAATGAATAATAATGATAACTGGGAAATTTTTTTTTTTTTGTTTGTTCGGAAATCAAAAAATAAAAATCCATGTTACATATGTTTTATTCATACAGAATTTCATCATCATCATTCACATTTATTTTGTTTGTTTGTTTTTTCTGTTGTTGTTGTTGTTATTATTAAAATCTGATTTACGTACACATTTCACTTAAAAGCAATTTTTTTTTGTTACTATAGTTCACCAATTCATGATTGAAGAATTTTGATTTTTGTTTACCAAAGTTCTTTACATTTTTGTTGTCGTTGTTGTTCGTTGTTGTTACTTGAAAATTATTTTTTAATTTTCATCATTCTGAAAAATATAATTCTCTTTTCATGTTTTAATCAGGTAATCACGATACATTTTTTTTGGGAAAGGAAGTGGGGCCAGCAAAAAAAAAACTTCTCACTACGTAATAACGACGTATGCGTGAATTTTTTCTTTTTCGTTTAGACAATTATTAGCATAACGGCTTATCTACATATAGACATAATACGGTAATTTCATTTTATTTACCCGAGAAACAGAGAGAAAAAAAAATTGATAATAAACCCATGAGGCATTTACACACACACACACACACAAAGATGCTTATCTCAATAAAATTAAAAGAAAAAAAATTCCGAGTATATGTAATTCTTGGAAACGGAAACAATGCATACGGATATTTTTTTTCTAGTCTCTCTATGAGACAAAAGTGAATTTATGTTGTTATTATGTAAATTATATTGCAAGCCGGATATTTTTTTTTTTTTTTTTTTTTTTGGGTTTCATCTTGATTTCCCCCACCACTATTTTATGGGTTTTAAATGTAGAATTTTTTTTCTTCTTCATTTTCTTTTTGCTGATGAAACTTTTTAAGCGATTTTTGTTTGTTTGTTTTTATTATTTTCATTTTCATTTTTAAATCCTAAAAATAAAAAAAAAAAGAAAAAATTGAAAAATTATCGAATAAAAAAAAAATGGCAAAACAATTTGATACTGAAATTGTTTATTCTAGCTGTTTGTTTGTTTGTTTGTTTGCGTTTATGACGACAAAGAAATAAAAGTAAAGTTTTTCCGACAAAAAAAAAAATGAAAAGAATCAAAATATGAATAACTTGACTGACTGAATAAGAGAGAAACAGAGAGTGAGACAATTAGGTAATTTTAATTGATTCATACTTTACTTGGGCAAGCAGCCCGTAAGTGGAGTAAAAACGTCAAATGAAACGTCACTTTTATATATTGTGTATACGCCCCGTGTATGGATGAATATTGTGACATTTTTTTTTGTTGTTGTTGTTGTTGTTGTTGTCGAAGAAAAAAAAAAAAATTCGTTAACCAAAAAAAAAAAAAAATGAATTGCTAACTAGAATTTTTTTTTTCTTCATTCCACCATGTCTTGAATATATATTCTCATCATCATCTATTTGCCACCATCTTCATCACCATTCACCATCACTATCGTCATCATCATCATCATTATAATTAAGTGTTGTGAATTTTTTTTCTGTAAAAAAACGAAAGAGAAAAGTCCTTTTTCAGCGTATCATTTGTTTTCGCCAAAATTCATTAATGATCATACATTATGATGATGATGATGATGGTGGCTGCAACAGTGGTGATTGCTACGTTTCATTGCTCAGAATACACACTTTTATCAAATGAGAATGAATAAAATGAATAAAGGATGTTAATGAAAAAAAAGATAACAAACAAAAACAAATTTTTCATACAAAAAAAAAAAAAAAAAACACAAGTAATTCAAACTGCCATCACAAGAAAAAGAAAAATTCATTTTATACAATCATCATCATCATCATCATCATATCTAATGTCGATCATAATGATGATGATGATGATGATGAAATTTGTTTTAAAATTCATGAATTTATAAATTAGATTATTATTGAAAATGATGATGATAATTGAATTTGAACAAAAAACAAAACAATGAAAACAAATTCATTCAAATTTGTCATTCATTCATTTGTTGTTGTTGTGATTTCAATGTAAATGAGAATTGAAACTGGAACCAAAAAAAAAAAAAAAAATGTTTCCTTTTTCAACCGATAGTGGGCAATGCTCTGCTAAATGGAATTTTTAATGCAAAAAAATAGACAAACAAAATGTACTCAAAATGTAACACGTACACACACGCGTATGGTACGTGTCATGAATTTTAAAATCATTTTTACAATCAATCATTGATTATTTTTTTTTTGGAATTTTGTAATTTTTTTTTCACTGAATTGGATTATCTTAGATTAACATTGGTTTTTTTTAGACCAGACACACAAAAATCAACGATTCTAATCAAAAAAAAAAAAAAAATGAAGAAATTTTCTGGCCAAAATTAAATCAACAAAATAGTATTGCAATTGTTTCTGTGGTAATCCTTCACAAACATCTTTAAAATTTTGGAAATCGTTTTGCAACATAAATAATTCTCTATCCAATATGTTGATGAAAATATTGGATGCAAATTTCCTTCTTTCTATTTAATAATTTTTGTTATAATTTTATTTCAATGTAAATCTTTATCAACTCCTATTTTATTTGCTTTTTGTAAATTAAATAAATAAATGATTGATGTAACAATGATTAAATTCAATCATTATGATTTTAGTGGGGAAAAAAAATCTAGAATTTAAATTGGCCACATCAACATATAT